AAAAACTGGGGAAAAAAGGTTTTGAACAACTGTTGGCCTTAAAAGATTTTATCACATATATGTGCAAACAAAATAGGTAGAATTTCACTTTCCCTCTCAGCTAATTTTGAAATTATGAATTTTATGAATAATGTTGCTAAGAACATCTTTATGAAGTGTTTGTGTGGACATGTGTCCAGTTCTCTTGGGTGTGCACCTGGGAGTGGAAATGCTAGGTCGGGTGCTAACTCCATGTTTCACTTTTGAGGAACTGCCAGACTGTTTTCCAAAGGGGCTATAGCATTTTACAATCCCAGTAGCATGTTCTTACATTTTTTAATGGTTGAGAAGAAATCAAAAGGAGAAGAAAATTTCATGACACATGAAAACACTATGAAATTCATATTTTAGTGTCTATAAATGAAGTTTTACTGAAACACAGCTATACCCCTATTCATTTACGTATTAGCTATGGCTGCTTCACGCTTCAGCAGAGTTGAGCTGTTAGGACAGAAACTATATGGCTTACAAAGCCTAAAATATTTACTATCTGGCCCTTTACAGAAAAAGTTTACCAAGCCCTGCCCTAGACTCCGGCCTCCACCTCACTGTGACTCTCTTACTCTGAATGCAGAAAGACTGCACTCCTCATCAGATCGGATGGAACTTCCATTGACAAAGACACAATAACAAAAAACCCTCATCTACTAATCTACTTTTTGGGTCATGGAGTTATGTAGAAATCAGCCAACTAGAGAGAGTCAATTCCCTTACCTGGCCCTAAAGAAGAAAAACACAGACTGTGGTCAGGGACAGAACTTGCCCTGCTGGATTGTAAGCTCCAGGAGGGGCTTCACCCGCAGGAAGGAGGCGGTTTTTCATGTTCACAGAATAGCGATCAATGGGATGCTGAGGCTGCTGGTTACAGGTGCCCCTTGGGCCCTCACACAGAGCTGGAGCTTAGGAGGCACCAGCAGAAGTCTGAGGAGCCAACAAAAGCAAGACTTACCTGCATCTGTCCTTTTAGCCATACAGGAATAGACGGAGGCCTGTAAATCACCCAAGGCCACGCCCACCCGTGTCCCCTGTGGGATTTCAAACCAGGCATGGGAAGTTCTGCCCGCCACACTGCCGGCCTCGGCGATGTCTGGGAGCAGGTGCGTGGGAAAGCCTGAGGCCCTCAATCTGCAATCCAAAAATGGACAGTACATTTACCCGGAGCTGGATTTTTGGGTCTTTGTTGCTTCCAGGAAGCTCAATGAAGGAAAACCCTACAGGACACACATACAAGAAGGGAGGATAGAATCCAGTGTTTTGACAGAGGGCCTCTGTGGCTTTTTTTAAACAATGAGAAACAGACTTGCATTTTTAAAAAAGTGAACACTGGCTTTCAAAAGCTTGGGATTGGCCTTCCAGGGGCGAAAGCCACCAGTTTAAGCAGGGGTGATCAGGAAGAGTTAGAAAGAGCCAGATGTCACCACTATCCAGCCTTCTGTGTTTGAAGGGAACATACTCTGCAAAGGGAGAAAGAGTTTCAGCACACAGTCATAGTCAGTTAGCACCGGCCAAACCAAAGTCAGACCCATCAGTCTCCTGAACACCAACTGCATTCATCACTCGGGGTTAGTAAACAGGGGACTGTCAATTTTACACAACATGCTAGAAAGTCCTTTACCTGAACTACCAGGTGCTTTTTGTTTTTTTACAGAGCTCAGAATTGGGACCCTGAAGGAAGTGAACTTAGAGGGCACAGGATACCTGGATCTGAAATGGCAAACAATTCCTTAAAAAGAACTTTAAAAGACATCCCTCAAGACTACTACTTTCACTTCTTAACCTTTTTTTAAAATTCATTACACTGACAGTTGTTCTTTGAAATCTGCAGGCTCGGTCCGAGTCACAGAGAACGGGGGAGCCCAACCTGGGTCTGGGCAGCTGTAGGGGAGCAGGACAGCAGGGTGTAAGAGGTGTCCCCCTCCGAGGGTTCACTTACAGCCAGGCCCACCCTTGCCTGGTGACTGGACAGGCTGAGGGGCAGGGGAACCTGATTCCTAGGCTCTTGGAATCCTCCACTATTGTTCCCAAATGGGAAAGTCCCACTAAATCCCTCACATTCGAGATTCAGGCCGTTAGCCTGGAGCCAGCTTGCAAGGATATACTCACATTTCCAAGTTCCAGCTTTGGCTCTGAGTGTTGAAATATCCCCAGCTAGCAGCATTCTGGTCGCACATCAGGGATCTTGGCAAGCCACACAGCATGGCAACCACATAGTCATGGATGGTGCCAGCAGCATCGTAGGACCTCAGGAACTCTGGGCTAGTTTTCATATCAAAAACAATTCAACGTAGTCTAATAGCAACTTGCAAGCCTGTACCACACCTAGCTGCAGGCAGTGGACTCGACATGGCATAGCTGGGTGGCAGCAAGCACCCCACGTGCTGAACTTCCCAGGGTGAGGACCTCCCAGCCACTCACAGCAAAGCTGGCTGGAGTCGGCCTTCAGGGACTGGTCTCAGGGGAGGATGCACCACGCTTGAGAAAGCAGGACACTGGCTGTTCTCAGCAGCCCTGACCCCACCATGAACTTACCATGGAACCCTTGGAAAGTCCCCTGCCCTCTCTGCCTTTTTCTTTCCCCCTCTGGTTTAGAATCAGATAACCAACAAAGAGCCTTCCGAGAAATGAAGCAGTTCTAGACCAAGTCTAGGTCTTGCGACCACACCCTGTGCCAGGCCACCTCACTGAGGGATGCTCCAGCAGGTGGAGTGATGCTGACCGGCGGGAGGTACAGTCCCCTGGCCACTCTCGTTTCCCTGGAAATTCAGCACCCGATTCAAAAATCAGTTGTCCATACCTATTCTTCAAAAGCCAGAAGATGGTTGCACAGCCAAACCCTGAGGCCACACTGAGATGGGACTCTGGCTGGGGCAAAGAAGCCAGGAACCCACTGCTACACCGGCCATCCTGCCATGTGACCAGGTGGCTCACGGCTCCGGGCTCAAACACAGGAGAGGGCCCTCCCTCTGTCCATTCACAGCCTGGAACAAAGGAAATTACCAAAAACAGAGAAAAGAACATCTGACCAGCAGCAACATGTCCTTGAGCGCACTCTGCTAGTGAGGTTACAGCAATGATAATACTTCACTCACGCACGTGGGTTCTGATATCAGAGCACCTGGCTCCACCACCAATGGCTGTGTGACTCAGGCCAAGTCACCTACTCCCTCCATTTATCCCACTTCTTCTGTGTTCCCTTTAATTCATTTTTTTAAAGTTGATATTATATCCCCTCCCACCCTGTCAGAAAAGAAATTTGGCACACTCAAGTCCCCTAGTCTCTGTCCTTCCAACCCTTATCATGATAATATTAGCTAGACTCGATTCTGGATGATGATGGATATATTTTCTCTTTTCCTTTGGTCTTAGCTAATTGATTTTAGACATCAACTTTACTCAGGAATCTGGCCATCTTTACTTAATTTATCTCATTTATCTCTTAAAATCTAGATTTTTTTTTCTCTGCTCTTATTTAAATATTTTACCCCAAACTAGTTCCAGTGTAGTTCGTTCTGTGGCAAAGCATCTAGAAGCCTACATGGCTCAGGATATTTTTGAAGGATGGCTGTGATATTCTAGGTTCTAAGTTCCCTTTCTTCAATACTTAAAAACACTTTGTAGATTTGTGATAGATTGCCACAAATTCCTTGCTACTCCTCCCATTAAGGGGTAGAGTCTAAATCCTCTTTCCTTGAATCCAGGCTGGCCTTGATGATTTGCGAGAGCAAGAGAATGTGGGGGGAGTGACATCCTAGGACTGCCAAGGCTAGGTCATAAGAAGACTTGCAGCTCCCACCAGAGTCTCCTGGAGCACTCACTCTGGGGGAAGCCAGCCACCAGGTAAGAAGTCCCACTACCCTGAGGCTACCATGCTAGAGAAACTATGTGGAGAAATCACATGCAGGCATCTAGCAGGTCATCCTCAGCTGAGTCTAGCCTTCCAGCCTTCCCCACCAAGGCATCAGGCATTGAGTAGAGCCGCTCTGGAACCCTCCAGACCAGTCTGTCCACGAGATGAATACTCCCAGGCAGCCTCTGTCAACCCCATGTAGAGCAGCTCAATCCAATATGTAGAAGTAGATCATACAAGATATGATAAAATAGTTGCTGTTTTAAGTCATGGAGTTTTGGAGGTAGTCTGTTATGCAACAACAGAAAACCAAAATATGATTCCATTGCATTTTTACATAGAATGTTGCTGTTGAAAACTATCTAGTCAATCTGCTTCTAATTTTTATATAGGATCTGGTTTTTCACTCTGTAAGCTTTTGGAATTTTCTTTGTCTCTGAAATCCTTAAAAGTTCACTATAATATATCCAGCTATGAGGTTTTCCTTCTCTCTCTTCTTTGACATTCTATGGGCACCTTTGGTCCAGACTGTTATATCTTATTTTGTCAATTATGGTAAGTAAATTTTCTCCATTAATTCTCCAAATATTTCCTCCTCTACCACTGTTATTTTTCCTTTTCTGGATCTCCTAGTATTCAGATGCTAGCACTTCTACTTGTATCTTCAATATCTCTTACCTTTTGTTTTATATTTTCTACTTCTTTGTTCTTTTCTTCTTCCTTCTGAGAGGTTTCCTAAATTTGCATCTTTCATTCTCTAATTTGTTCTGAAGTTCTATCCATTCTGTTATTAATCCCATCTATTACATTCTTTATTTCAACCATTATATTTTTTATACCTAATATTTCTGCTTGTTTTTTATGTTTTCTTCTTATTGTTTCTTGCTAATATTCTCCTTTCATATATTTTAGTATGTATATCAGGCTAATTTTAAATTCTTAGACTGTCCATTCTAATAGTTTTGCTTCTGAAAGAATCTCCATCTGGGGTTCCTGGGTGGCTCCAAGAGCATCCAGCTCTTGGTTTCAGCTCAGGTCATGATCTCATGGGTCATGGGATCAAGCCCCATATCAGGCTCTGAGCTCAGCGGGCAGTCTACTTGAAGATTCTCTCCTTCTGCCCCTTTCCCCACTCACACTTGCTCCCTCTCCCTCTCTCCCTCTCTAAAATAAAAAATAAATCTTAAAAAAAAAAATCTCCATCAAATCACCCAGCACAATTTTTTTCTTGTGAAACAGCTGTGAACTTGAAACATCTTATTGTCCTGGTCCCTGAACTCATTTTGTTCTGGGAGTATTGGCTACTCTGTCGGGCAGTGTAAATGAGCCAGACCTCAGTCCCTGCCAGCTCCCAAAGGTCTGGGGAGGATGGATGAGAATCCATCCAGCTCCCAAAGGTCTGGGGAGGTCTGGGGTGAATCCACAGCTAACCCATCCCACCCTGAAAAACATCTCTTCGGGTCAGGGCTTCCACTCTGCCCCCCAGGATGAAACAATGTTTTGAGGATCCTTAGATTATAGGTCACCAGCCCTGTGATTTGGGGAGAGACACCTGCTTTTCTCCACTGCCTTGATTTTATTCCTGAAGACACCTCGCTATGGACAAGGTGCTGCTTGTCCCAAAGCCATGACAATCCAGGGGAACCAGCAGTTCCTTATCCTCCCACAGGCAAGGCTGGTTGCGTCTTGCCCTACACCCAAACCATCAACCTACACACACCAACTCCAAGTAGCCCCATCACCCTAGGTTCTCTCACAGTGTTCTCCCCTTTCCTTGGTGTTTTTCTCTTATGATTCTTCTGAAACCAATCTTGGGGGAGAGAGCCAACAATCAAGCTAGTTCAGCAGCTTGGTGGCAAGTGTATCTGGAAGTCCAGGGGTGGAGGACACTTATAACTCTTTCCCGGGTCCTGGTATCTCTTCCTGCCATGTGTTGACTTTACTGTCAAACTAGTAGCAAGGGGAAGGGTTAGAGTTAGGGTTAGGGTGTGTTGTGCATGTTGTGTGTATAGGGTTGTGTGTATTAAATGAGTTAACACATGTAAAGCATTTACAACAGTATCTGACACAGTGAGGACTCAATTAATGTCAGTGATGATAATAATGAAAATGAACCTTTACCTTTTAAACTGTCCATGGTCTAAGACTTCCAACAGTCTTAAAGAAAGAGAATACACCCCCCTACATATCTTTTGTTCTTTCCTCTCCTCATACAAGGTAGATTTCTCACACTTCCACACAATATTAATATAACCATTGCAGCAGAATGGGAAAAGAATGTTGACATTAAGTGCCAGTTGAGAAAAGTTATCAGCAGCAAGAACACTCCAGACCCAATGGACAGAGATGGGAATCTGGCTCCATGTGACATGAGGCAGCCTCCAGATGAGAACAATGCCTGCCATGAAGCAAAGCAGGGCAAAGCCCCACAGGCAGCTGTTTCATGGCTATGTCTGATCTCAAGTCCCAGATTTGGGAGCCAAAACCATTACATTTTCTTATAAATACGTTCATTAAGAACCAAAGAAAGAGGGGCGCCTGGGTGGCTCAGTTGGT